ACGTACTTATGAGAATCTACTGTTGGCTTAAATTAATCTAATTTGATGATGAATAAAGCTTTCTGTATTTAGTAATTTTTATTACCTTACGCTAAAATTTTAATTCACTATTATATGTCCATATTGTTTTAATACATGAGCTATCAAAATTAGTGAGTAATATTGATTTATGTATTGGTATACATGAATATATTCATATTATATTACAAAGAATTCATATAAGCTAGTAGGCCTCTTTAAGACTAATAATTTTACCCTTGTATCATTAAAATAAATGTGAAACATTTAGCACAATTTTGATATTTATATAAATAATAAAATGTGAATTTCTACTTTTACAAGTATCCTTTTGAGTGAGAAATGTAGGATCATGAAAGACATGTTTAAACCATGACTTATTCTATATGCTCTTAATAGTATGAATTGAATTTTAACTGTGTGCTTATGAAGTGAAGAATTTAATGTATTGAATGGCTAGAATATATGCAAAAACGAGGAGATGGCTAAAGGAATAATCCATTGTTGGGCAGATCTCTTAAATCTCTACAGGAGGGCAAGCCAACGAGTTTGCCAACATGATTAAAATAGAATTTTACACGAGTTTGGGTAATGTGCATGCATGTACATGCTGATTATGATGTCGACGGGCAATCAGGTGATGGCCATGTACATGATGAAGAATACCCAATGTGCTACAACGACTAATAAATGAACAATCATGAAATGCAAGATAGTCAATCTCGTCATTATTTAAAGTATATGATTATTATACTTTCTCATGATAAAAAATAAATATTTTTTACATATGTATATGACCATTATAATGTAAAATAATCACAAATTTGAACTATGCAATCACCTTATCTTCCGGGTCGATCACCTTATCTTTTGGGTTTGATCGACGGCTATGTGTAGATAACTGGTTTGGGTTCAATCGGTCGTCCGAGTCGGATCGCTCATCATTTTGGGTCGGATCGATTACCCCGCTTCCTCGGTCTGACCGGCCCTCACAGACCGGTTGACTGATCACTTGCATGCATGTATGCTTTTACATCATATTGCAATTGGGTTATAGGGTTGTGTTTTGTTAATATTTTGGTATTTGAATGATGTTGGAATTAAGTGATCTTGGGTTCATTAGATTTCTCTAATTGAAACATTTGATTTGATTATAGGTTTTATCAAATTTGGAATCCATTTGACGCTCCAATTTATCAGCAAAAAGCTTCTAAAATTTGTTGAATGGCTTGATTCGGGCTTGATTTGACTTGTATTGGATTAATTTTGGTGTCATTGAGTCTGTGTTGTTTGACGACAAATTTGCTGAAATTAGTGTCTTGTATAATTTTTAATTTAAATTTGAATATTTTTTTTAATTAAAAATACTGAGATTCATACTAAATATTAAAATTTGTTGATTACGTATCATGTCTACTACAATATACTCACATTTTTTTTAATTATAACATAGAAGATCATTTTATAATTTGTAATATAAAATTATTTCAATTGGGCATATCTCATAATTTATTTTTCCTTCATGAAAATTTTACATAAAAATTATGACGCCTCTTATAAATATTATTATTTATCTATATATGTTAGATTGTCATATAAAAATATGATGTTAGCTTATTCTCTGTCATTCAACCGTGTGCCCACTTTTTTAACGCAAAAACTAGCGATGCTCATTATCACTAGTAGCTCTTTCCCATCCCTAATTTTTCTGTGTGGACTGCAAACGTAGCTTTACGTGTCGCGGAGGTTATTCCTGAGTTATTTTCAAGTTATTTCTGAGTTATTTTCAGTAATCTCGAAATAACCCGCGGTCTTTATTTTTAGGTTATTTATGGGTTATTTCGGGATTACTGAAAATAACCCAAAAATAACCTGAAAATAACTCAGAAATAACATGCGTGGCGGCAGGTAGAGCTACGTCAGAAGTCCGGACAGAAAATGCTCTCCTTTTCCACACAACAATTTACATTAAAATGAAGACATTTTTGTATATAGACGTCATCAAATCATGTAATTTACATAAAAATGTTATGAAGAGCGGGTCAGATTCATGTGATGATTGTCACGAAAAATTATTAGGTGCGGACATCGCACGCATTTGAACACTCTAACAATAAAAAAAAATAAAAAAAATATTTCAATGGTCCAGATCAGACACCGCATACAAATTTACATGCGATATTCACGTAATCACGAGCGAGTATACATTCCGCACGTAATTGGATAAAAACTGTGTGGTGCGTAACGAATGTTTAAATTCGGCACGTCCTTCTACGAAGCAACTATTTTAATAATCCATATGAATGAATGACCGAACAGCAGTGAAAAGGTTGGGTTCATTGAATCTAAAAACTATGCAAGTTGGCAATAGATGATGTAGTAATTTATTATATTTTGACATCCATACTCAATAAATTTCATCGAATTTAAATAAAATAATATTAAGAGATAGAAAATACATGTTTTTTTATCGATCTGATCAAGTACCGATAAAGTTGTCAATCCTAACACCATTGACATTTTTTTAGACATATATATATATATATTATATATATAATTCTATGTCTATAAACATAAGTTAAGGTGATTGAATATTTCATGAACTTTAAGCATTTTGTGAGGCCCATCGTTTAGAGTGTACCATAAGAAAATAAATTCATTCAAAGAAAATTAAGTGCCCTAATCATTCAAGTTATTTTGTAGAAGGGGAACACTAATCATTAATATGAATCACTTTATATAATAGTGATCTAATGTTTCACATGACAATGACCATAAAATAGAAGAACTATATGATCACACGTCTTTTTAAACAAGTACTTCTTTGCTATAGGTGGGTACTTTTTGTCACTCAACATTCTTGAATAAACACGAGTAAATGTACTTTATCAGGAGGCGAGTGAGACCAAACAATCGGGCATTATTATTCACCTCTAAAGATGGTAAACATTCACAAAGATCACCTGCATTCTTTATGGCTTTCCTTTTATGCCAATGTTACACTAACATGATGTAATCTATTATGCAACAACTACCTAGCACATTATCATTTTCTATAATAATGATGTGACATGCCATCCCTAATAATCCAAATAACCTCAAGATGAGCAATTTTAGTTTTGTTCTTACTTGATTGATGTAGTGGAGTATTTCACGTTAATTCTTCAACTACACATGCAACGAGAGTAGTCATCCTCTACACGTAAGAGAAACTGCCCCATCAAATCAATGGCTTTATATTACATTTTGTTAAACTTTTTAGGTCAATACATCTAAATAACTCCATTTTCTATAAAATAGGAGCCACTTCTTCTCATGTGAAACCTCTAATGCCTCCCTTAAAAGTCAAATACAATTATGAATTAATAACTATATAAATTTAATGACCCACTTGAATCGGCTATATAAAAGCTCATGAATATTATCTCATCTTATCGCACCTTGAACTTAAGCAACATATTAAGTGGGGACGTATTTTATCCAAGTTTCAATACAAAATACTTCATTTCCTAGAGTATGACAATCTCAATTACCAATAAAATCAAATAACCAACAACTTAATTCATTCTTTATAATTCTATAGGAAAGAAAATGAAATTTATATATTAGCAATATAAAGAATTAATAAACAAATCAAGTGAAATCATACAAACTTAAAATATCCTTTATAATTTGATTTATATTACCCGATTATTATTTAACTATTAAAATTCATCAAATTAAATTAAATATGTGATCAAACTTGACAATGCTATATGATTCATCATCATATGATACGATAAATTCTAGATTTTTTTTGAAAAAATGAGTACTTAATTTTGGATAATTTTTAAGTTTTATTCTAGTGATTTTAATATCAATAATAGTAATAATTTTTTATTTTATTTTTATCACCATATTCGTGAAATGAAAGTTGAAGAGGCTTTAAAGAGAATATAGTACGAAAAATTAGTAGGATATGATGGCATTTCAACAAATGTGTGAAAATGTTTATGAGATTCAAAAAAATTTTGACTTACTAAATTTGTTAATATAGTTTTAAAAACCAAGAAGGCATCCAAAGACTGGAGAAAAAGTATTTTGGTTCATATTTTTAAGAATAAAAGGGATGCACAAGAGTGTGCAATTCAAAGAGAATTAAGTTAATGTGTCCATTTTAGATATCTCAAATATATTTTTCAAATTGATAGTGATATAGAAGGGATGCTATTAATAGAATTCATGCTGGGTGGTTGAAGTGGAGGAATGAATCAATATTATTGTGTGATATAAAAGTATCGCATAGACTGAAGGAAAACTTTTATAAGATGGTGGTGATGAGAATACTATTATTAATGACACATACTGTTGGCCCATAGAGAAGAAAAAAAATAAAGCTAAGCATTGTGGAGATGAGAATACTTGGGTGAGTGGCTTTACACTTGGATATAAATGTGAAACCAACATATCCATGACTATGTGATGCATTTTTCATTATAATCACAATATTTAAGTGATAAAATCTTGTGATTTTTAATTTATTTGTTTAATTTTTTAAATTGATTTATTTAAAAAATTAAAATTAGTATTTTTTTTCTTTTGAGACAAAAAAAAAAAAAAAAAAAAAAAAAAAAATAAGGGGGTGTTTGGCTGTGGTCAGGATTTCTCGTTAATAGGATTTAGTAAATTTACATTCATTAAATTCATCTCCTTTTCGGTTCTATAAAATCCAAATTTAACATGAATCAAAACAAAATTCAGGCCTTAGATTCGAAATTTTCATAAATTCATAGAACTTTTATTTTTTTATATTTATTTGAATTTATTAAAATGGATAAATAAATTTTGTTAATAGAAGATAAAAATAAATTGAGCAAGAATAATAGAAGCTTTCAAACACGAGCACAAATAGATGGAAACATGCACCACCTCTTACTCATTTGCACCCCCCACATGCACCCACATACCTATGACTAGAGTTGTTGGTTGGGAGTATATAACTATTTTCTAAATGAAACCAAAATCAAAGGACAACAAAGAAAAGGTTGCAGCAGACTACTGTCGAGTGAAACAAGAGTTTGAAGAGCCGATGAGATTTGAGGAGCCTTGGACTTTCGATATTTTAAAACCTCCAATTTCCGATCACCTCACTTCGTCTTCTCCCCATATGAATGAGGTACGTCTTCATCAATTGTGATTGTTAACATTTTTTTTGGCTGTTTTCCAGTTCTTTTTATGATTTCGTAATCTTTCGTTGCTGAATAATTTATGCTATGGTAGAACTCATTGTGGCATTAGGGTTGCCTGAGCTAGCAATTTGTGTTTAATTTATTAAAAATCCTCCTTTTTTTATTTATATATAGACATTACAGTCTAGGGCTGGCTTGTTTTGTTTGGAGGAAACCAGCGCGTAGATGACATTAACGTCTTTTGCGTCTTATGGATTAGGCCAATTTTTTCCTCTCGCAAGCTTTCTCCTGAGAAGTTATTTGCTTCGGAATATGAAATCTAAAACAAATGGAACCATGCGAAGGGCTCAGCTGATGGATCGCGTCAAAGGAGACAGACCCAATTGGATCCTTATTGCTGGAGGCGCCTTGCTGAGTACTTTGTCAATCAGGATTGCATGCAAGCTGAAGGAGGTCTTGGAAACAAAAGGTTTAAAAAAAGATATTAGAGGTTAGTTTTTGTGTTTTCAACTTTGATGGATGTTCATGGACTAGTAGAAGAAGTAACACATCAGCCTTGAAACAGGGAATAAGAATGCTGCCTTGCCACCACGAGGAGTATGCCAGTTGCATTCAAATTTGTATCAGTTTACTCCAGATAAGGATGGTTGTTACCATTTTGTCTCAGGTAACGATTCTTCGAATTCGTTACATATCCTATTTCTCTGCTGTGAATGATTTGTAAAATGACTATTTGCATTTGATTTTACAATGTTGATTAATGATTTTGATGAACAATTCAAGATATTATTTTTAGTTCTTTTCAGTGTTATGTTATGCACATAGACACACCTTAATAGAGCTTGGAAATTTGTATTCAAGTGGGATTTGTTGGATTTTATCATATATATGTAATTGTATACCCAAATTCACCTGGGCCGCTCAAGCAAACTTGGCCGTCGACTCAGAAAGTTCATTTGATTGAACTCACCAAAGACAAGGCTTCATTGGCCCTAGGGCTGATCAGACGGAGTCACCTTTGCTGCAATGAATTTGTTGATAAGATCAAGTCATCCCAAGCTTGAGATGCAACTATATATTGTAGAATAAAGTCGTCGTAGAAACTTGCTTGCTACCCTGCCCTAGAAATCGATTAGATAAACTCATTCTGAAATTGCAACATAACAAATCATTAAGATTCAACCCAAGACTTTAGGTGGGCACACCTCATATTTGGAAAAACATAACGCATATATAAGGGCCACCAGTGAGATCTTTTTTTGTGATTTTTTTCTTTGCCCCATTTATCAATAGGGAGTCAACGGGCAAGCCTTGGTCAGAAATTATTTGTTTTGAGTTCTATACATCAATTGAAATAAGGAACCATAGAGTTTTTCTCTTGATTCTTTTTCCATCTTTCTCTCTCTCCCTTTCATTTCTCGGTAAAATTTGTTAGTAAGGTCCTAATGTTATCCATAGACATTTGGATTTATCAAGAATTTTATTGTTGAATATAATAACTAATGCTATAATTTACTTTTTTATATTATATTTTATATATGTTTACCTTTTGTGCGTGTGTTATGGGTCTTTCAATTTTTTCCTGATTGGATAATCAGAATTTATGTTTGAAATTGAAATTATTAGCTCTAATAGAATAGTCATTGTAATATTAACCAATCTAGATCAGTGGATTCCTGACTAGTCTGAGTTCTCCTTATTTTTAACAATTTTGCAGTGTTTTTGAATATATCCTTGAGCTTGAAACTGTTAATATCTAGAGGTATTCCGAGATCAACTATTTTTTGTCTACTTTGAAATGGTTGGGTTTCATTAAGCTAGGCCACAGAAGTTAATAAAATGAGACTTGAACTGGCTTTCTCAAAGTTATAACATGAACCACCTTTCCAAATTGACTTATTAGCATTTACTTGGGGACCTCGGGTAACCAGGTTGCATATGATTTAGGAAGATGCTCAAGCTAGCTTTATTGGCTTGGTAGTCATGATAGTTCTTGCACATTCATGTGTGGTAGTTAAAGTCTTTGCTTCAATGAATCCTTTCTTCTTTTTTTGACTCCTTATGGAAAAAAAGTAAGCATACATGATGGAGAATATGCTTCATGGGAAGTTTGGCATATCATGTTAGTGACCAAAAATCCCCAAAAGCAAATTAGCACCACTGGTGATGATGCTATGGCTTACAAATTCTTTCCCCAAAAGCAAATTAGCACCACTGGTGATGATGCTATGGCTTACAAATCCTTTTTTTTTTCCTCCTTCATATATGGTTTTCCTGTCAAAAATTGACTACTGTAGTGATTGACTTCTTTATCTAATGAGTTTTCACATTCTTAAATCAAGGTCTCTAGGAATTCTTCACCCTTCCCTATCGTAACTAGCATTGATGTCCATTTCTCACTCTACTAAATTTCACTTTTTAATCTTTAGTTATCTACAAAAATATATGTTTAGAATTCTAATTATACATGACAACTTCTTGTTCAACTTAAGTTTTCTCTGTGATTGGAAGTCTGTTTTGCCATGCTTCTTATCATTTGAGTTTGAGACTTGTATATTTAGAAGCGATCAAGCAAGAATGGCTATGCAAAAGAAATTAGAAGGATTCAATAGCCAAGATAACAATACTTACATCCCAAGCATTTTACAAACACATCGTGACAGATGGAAATGGCATGGATGGAAAGCGTAAAATGAAAAAAAAAAGGCATGAGTAGGAAAACCAGGAATATGAGATTCTCAATTGATTATATTATCCCCACCATAGTTAGGCAGAAATGTCTTCACTAATTCTAATACATCCAATACTTTCTCAAGTATTATACCATGAGTTGACCGGCAGCCACAACAACTAGATAACATGCAGTAGCAGTGTATATAGCTTGATGGACTTCTTTGATTGCTGATTCATTCATTCAACAACTTGGTCTATGAAATATTTGAGTGTACAACTACAACAAAAAGTTTTTGTGGGAAATAGTGAGGACAATACTGGCCTGCAAAGCCGATAGATAGTGAAGAGGTAAGTGAATCTTCCTAGTGATGGAGCGGTGAGTGCAAAATGGTTTCCACTTACTTTCTCTAATTTACCCATTCTTTCATTTTCTCTCTCTTTCTCCATCTAATTAACTTCCTATTCTTCCATTATTTTTCCTTTTTAACTCGGAAGCCCAACTATTTGGGTATTGTATTGATCATGATTTGAATTAAAATGATCCCAATTTATTTAAGATTTAATACAAAAGGCTTTTACTTACTGTAATTTGGATTTGTATTATAATGATAAACGGTGACAAATGCTTGAGTCATATTTATTATGCATTGTGAAGTTTGACTATTATGCCTTGATGTATTGATCAAATCTTTCTTGGTTGGTATGTGGTAATATGTGTAATTAAAATAAGAATTTACATATTGTAAATTCACCATTTGATTTTTTGGGTGTGCTTGTTTGGTTGGGGTGGCTTACCGACTTAGCAGCTCATGTTTTGTGCTAGATTTTAAAAATTGCAACAATTTTTTAGTTCATGAGATTATTTTACCAAATTTTTCCGATTACATCTGCCAGATGGTGGCACGATTTAAGAACAACTTAGCTTTAGCTTTCAGTTGTGCTTTGGAAGGGGCACTAATAGCTCTCCAAGATAATGTTGATCCAATCAATGCTTTTGTTCTTTGTGTTTATTAAAAGATAGTGTTCATAGGATTGTTTAAATGGGTAAAACATAAGCACATGCTAAACTTTTTTCAAGGAAAACAAAAAAAGTTTCAAATCACCAAATCTTCACCTATGTTTATATCATAATTATGGCATCATTATCTTCATCAACATCATCATCGTCATTACTATCCTTATCTTACTATTTAGAGCCAACTTTATAAATCCTCATTCTCCTTATGTTCTTTAAGGTTTTATCAATATTTTGGTTCCATCCGTTTATGCTTTATCTACTCTTTTCTCCCTAATTCTTATATTTATTGACATTCAAATATTTTGTCAACTTTTTACAAGTTCTTTTTAGTATTTTCAATTTTAAAAATCAAAACAGCTCGTTCAATTCAAATCATTCTAGTGTGAATTGGTCTCCAAACTGATTTTGTCCACATGCAAAATAATTTTTTTAGAACCATATTGAACTAGGTAGGACTGGCAGTTGAATCGATGAATTATTGAGCTAGTTGTTATTTTAATGAGTCACACACATCATTTCTTGATCATTTTATCACCATTTTTTTTAACAGAATGACCAAATGTAAATCAACAACAACAACAACAAGCCTTTATTCCACAATGACTGGATGTAATTAATTTAACATAAATAAAACTATTTAAGTTTATAAACATTAACTCCCAATCTTTTGACTCTTCAAATTCTTTGATTTGTGGGCACTTTTGTATAAACTATTGTCTAGTTGAAATACATTTATGCAATTAGGTGTAAAAGATTTTAAAGGATTACCTAAATTTTTATTATAAGTTAGAAAATAAACTTGTCACTTAAATATAGATGATCTTTTAATTTAAATCTATGAAATATATATCTTCAATATTATTGTTGTGTGCTAGAAAAATTTACGGCGGTAGGCTAGTGTTTTAATGTCCTAGTGTTATATGAAGGTCCAATACAGATAAACAAAAGTAGCGAAAGGAGACACCAAAATTTTTACGCGACAAAATTTAAAAAGGAAAAAAACTATTGGGCCCAAAACAACCAAAGTAATACACTTTGTGTTTGTAAGTACAGTGGTGCGTCTTTATTCCGCAACAAGAATAATGAGGTTACAATCTTATACCAAAAATTATACTTGTATGTTTACAACACGAAGAAAATATGTGTTAGAGACAACGATTATATTTGAACTACAATGATAACGAATAAGAGTCGCGGTGGTCGACAGTAGTCAATAACTACGAAGGACAGTGTTTATTCGTTAGGTTTTCAATACAAGTATTAGACACAACGACAATATTTGGCCTACAACGGTTGCAAGCAGGGGTCGCGAACAGTCAGTGGTCGGTTGCAGCTAACGATTATGACCGCTGGTGATCGATGGTGGCTAACGGGCATTGGTCGATGGTGGTTGATGGCTACGGAGCCCGGTGATTATCGTCAAGTTTTTTCTCCATAACATGCTCTGGAATTCCTCTTCTCTCCTTATTCTTCTCATTTCAAGTGAAGAGATGAGGCCTATTTATAGCCTTTTGGGGAGGGGCATTTGGGTCTTTTAGCGCATATTTTCTCTAACCACCTGATCAACAGCCCTTTTTGATCCTCGATCATAGATGATCTTTGTTGGGGCTTATTCACTTCTAAGGAATTGTGGAAAAATAACGATTCAGGAGATCTAAAGAAAACAATTGAATAAAAGTGCACAAACAAGAAATTTGAAAAATATAACACGACCTGGAAAAACTGAAGAACCGAAAAATATCCTACAGAATTTCACCACACCAAGAAATTTACTATGAAATGAGGAGACATATACAAATTACACTACCTCAAATCCTTTTTACAATCCTGGTACTCATGAATGCTCCTCTCCCGATCGTATGAGAAATATGTAGAAATCCACTCATAACTCGCAGACACCGCTTCAAGATTTTCATTTTTTTCTTCCCACAGTGAAGAAACCCAATCTTTGAAGTTTCAAACTGTATAATCGGTTA